CAACGGTGGGGCTGGGCAGAGCGGACCTCGTCAGCAAGGACGAGGAACACTTCTTGTACACTCTCGGCTTGGTTCTGTTTGGTAGAGGCGGTGTCTTGCATGCGCTGGTCGACTGCGAGAACAGCGGTGCTGCAGACGCGCCCGAGCTGGACGCCAGGATCATGGAGATCTCTCGGGTCAAGCTGGGCCCCGGCTGGGCAAGAGGCTCAAGAAGGTGGATGAGTCGTTCGACGCATGCGCGGAAAGCATCTGGGACAGCTGGCTGCTCACAGGTATCAAACGGCGATGTGGTGCATGATGTTTTTCCGTACAGACAAGCGGGCAACCTCGCGCCCGGCACGCGCGGTGGAAGCACACCTGCAAGTTGGCGTCAGGAAGCCAAAAGTCCCATATTCTCAGACCATGAGGCGACGATGAAGGGTTTGGAGTACATGCTAACACTCGACCAGCTGAACGCTCCAGAGTTGGTGGTGGCTGAATTATTTGTGAGGCTGGCGCAGCTCGCAGAATTTTGGCATCGGCGCCTCCTCCTTTCTCCCGACGATTTCCTTCATGACCTCGCGAACGACGAGTTCTGGCACTTCTGCCTGGGGGAGACACGTGGCCAGATCATGCTCTGCCCCGCCCTGGGGGAGCGCGCGGCGGCAGAGCTTCGCCGCGAGAGCACCAGGGCCAAGGAGCGACGCAAGCTCCGCAAGGAGCGGCAGCTGTCTCGTGCTCTGCCCGCGGCCGCGCCCAGCCAGTCCGCGTTCGCCGCGCCCTCGGCCTCGGCGGAACCCTCGGCCAGGCCGGCGGAGGCGGATCAGGCCCGGCGGCGTGCGAAGGCGAGGGCATAGGCCGAGGCCGAGGCTGAGGGGGCCCAGGCTGAGGAAGCGCGACGTGCGGCGGCGGCCCAGGACGTCCGTCTCCCACTGCGCATGAGCGCCCAGGGGGCGGGCCTGCCCGCCCGGCCCCCGGCGACAGGGCTGCTGTCGCTCGCGAGGGGGCCGCCCCCCATGCCAGCGCCGTTCCGCGACGCGTCGCAGGGGTATTCAGTTTTCTTTGGTTCACCCAAGTCGGTTCATCGTCGGTCACGTGTCAAGTCCCATTGGCAGGCAGCAGTTAATTCCGCAGTTGCGAGTGCCAATGACTTGCGTGGCGCTCGTGCTGATCGAGCCCGGCGTCGAGTCCATCTCGGGCCCCGGCTGGAACTCAGCAGGATCTCTCAGCCATCCCCCAAGCAGTGCCCCCGCTCCCACGCGCAGCCGTGGAAGCATTCCCGCGCGCTGCGGCGCCCGAGTGGCGCATGATTCCGCGTCTCTTTCCAGCTTGATCGAACCTTGTCGCGCTCCAGGGACGGCGTGGCCGACGGCGCCGACACGCTCGGCGGCGACGCCTTGCGCCGCGAAAAATTTCACCAAGACTCATGGCCCTATTCAGATCCAACGTTGATCAGAGACAAAATGATGCATGCGAAGCTGATTGCAAAAGTGCGCCCCCCCCGGCCTCGTTTCCGCGCGCCGCCGCAGCGCGGCGACGGCGGGCATCTTCTTCGCGCGTAAGAACGCGCACGGCACGCAGAGGGTGATCCTCGACACCAGGCCGGGGAACGCTCGCTCAGTGGAGGCCGAGCGCGCCGTCTTACCCACGCCTGGCGCATGGTCAAGCACCGAGCTGCAACCAGAGGGCGATCTCGTCTTCTCGCAGATGGACGCGGGGCGCGCCTTTTATCGCACTCGGTCACCGCCTGGGGTATCATATAATTACGTTATGCCACGAGTCTCTGGGCGGCTTCTCCGGCGGCTGGCCCCGCCCGCCGACTTCGACAGCGGCGAGTGGCTCAGCCCTCGCTTGGAGGTGATGGCCATCGGCTGGTCATGGGCTCCCCATTTCTGCCAGCAGGTGGTCGTCGCTAGATAGGCATCGGTTTACGCATTATCGACCCTCGCTCGCAGTGCACGGAGGCGCGCGCCTGCCCCCTCATAGTGCCAGTAAGGGCGCGCGCCTCGCACATGCATCCGAAAAAATATGAGGCTGCGCAGCGGTGTGGGTTCCACGTGGCCCTCTGCGCAACCATATGAAACATGGGTGATGTTGCTCTGGGTCGCATCCGCGTGCGTCGCGCGCCCTGTTCGACCACGCCGTCGCTTGCGCTATGGCGGGCGATGTGAAGCCTGATTGTGCGATGATGCCTGGGGGGCTCAAACCTAAGTGCACGCGGCGCCATGAGATGCCAGCGCCCCTCGGCAACGGCGCCTGGAGGTGTTGCGTGCTGATGGGCAGGGTAGATAGTCGCGAATCGATTGTAGTCTGTTGAGGCGTCGAGAAGGGGGGCCCCCTGGTTGCCATGCCGTTGCCCGCGTGGCGCGACAGGGTTATGCGCAGAATTCGTGGGAATTCACCGGCGCGCAGTCGGCCGCGATTGCCGTCGTTTGCAAGGGCAACGGGCGCCCGCGTGCCATTGATGGTAATCTCCCTCGTTGCGACTGCACGCGCAATAGTTTGTGCTGTCTTGCGCTGCGACTCTGCCTTGCGGTTTTGCGTTGTGGAAGTGTTGCTTCCTTCGCGCCCGCGACGCATCGATTCCGCGTCGCACTCGTCGACCCCCCTTCGCGCCCAGCCAAAGTTCGATGTCATTCGCGGGCACGCGCGTTCGCCGGGCTTGAACCGCGGCTGTGCCACGCGCGAACTACGCGCCATAGTTGCGTTCATGTCATGAGGCGGCGTCGAAGCGCACCTGGGCCTGGGCCACGCCTGCGCCGCTCCCGAATCGCGCCTGGGCCATTGCTGAATCGCGTTTCACTTTCACGCGGCCAGGCTGCCACAATGACTTGAACTTCAGGCCGCGCGCGAGCTGGCGCGCGCAAGGAACGCTTGAACCGCCGCTGGAGAATACCACAACGTCACTTGAACCGCGTCTGAACCACGCCTGAACACACGACTGGCCGACGCTTGAAAAGGATGCCAGATGCACGGCATGGTTTTCGTTTGCTTGGGTCGCGCCCGCGCCGCGGCTAAACGACGTCGTCAGCTCGCCTAAACCACGCCTGAACAACACTTGGAACAGGGCTTGGGCCGCGGCTGAAACCCACCACGAACGGATGCCAAAGTCTTTGCCGAATTTTCGGTTGCTTGGGTCGCGCGCGTGCCGCGGCTGAACCGCGACTGAGCCGCGCCTGAACCGCGCCTGAACTATCCCCGAAACACGCTCCGAGTATGGCTGAACCACGCCTGACACGGATGCCGGAGTTCCTGTTTGCTCTTCGTTTGCTCGGGCCGCTCCCACGCCGCGGATCAACCGCTCCTGAACCACGCGTGAGCCACGCCTGAACGACCCCTGAACCACGCCTGATCCTCGGCTGAATTGGCAGACGCAGATGCAAGTGTTCTCGCGGGCGTTTTGTTTGCTTGAGTCTCGCTCGTGCGACGGCAGAAAGGTGTTCAAACGTCGCCAGAAGCACGCGCGCTTGAACTTCACCTGAACCACGCATGGAGCATTGCTGAACCACGCCTGAGAGGGGTGACGGAGCTAGCTGCTTCTCGTTTGCATGAGTTGCCCCCTGGCTGCGCTTGAGCCTCGCCTGAACCACACCGGACACTTGCTTGCGGGCCACGCCAGAAACACGCCTGAAGAAACATGGCTGAACCACGCCTCAAACGGACGCGAGAGTTCCTACTGACATTACGTGTGCTTTAGCCGCGTCCGCGCCGCGGCTGCCCGCTTCTCCGGGAACGCCTGTTCACCATTGAAGCCTTGGGGGCGGAAGGGGGTTTCCGGGCTGGTTTCCCCACGTATGTTGCAGAGTGCTTCTCTTCAGCGAGCGACGCTACGTTAGGAAAGCTGGAAAAGTGCCTTCCTTCAACGAACGACGTCGCGTCAGGGAAACCGGATGGTCCAGTAGAGTGGTGGTCAGCTTTCAGACGGATCGGATGGTAACGCGGTATTAAAACAAGAACCAGAGATGGAGGAGGAGGAGGAGGAGGAGGTGGAGGAGGGCCTGGATGACCAACCGTGTTTTGCCACGGACAGAAACATGTTTTCATTCAGCGGCATGGACAGCCTCGCCGCTTTGAAGTTAGAATGCAATTTTGGGAAGTTTAAATTTTGAATTGACGCCCGTATGCTCCTGATCGAACGCTGGCCCAATCTAATTAGATCCCGTTTTATGTGGCTTATCACCGCTTAATCTGGCTTGTTCCCGCGCAATCCGGCTTCATCTTTTGCCCACACCATATCCTTCAATCAGGTTCCCCCCTGAATCACCGTCCCCGCAGATCTTCGGTTATTTGAGATGTTGCCCCCCTCCCATCCACGGGAGGCGCCGTGATTTTCTTGCCCATCTCCGTGACAATCGGCAGTTCTATTCATGTTGGCGGAGATCATGGGGCGATTGTTACGCGGTGATGACAACGTTGGTGATCAGAACATGTGCCGACTGAGATGTCATTCATGTTACGGCCACGGGCCTCCCAGTTCGCTCCCAGTCCCCATACCCCCACCCACTCCGTTCCTACCCCACCCTGTTCGCATTCCATTCATGTGTTCTTCCAAGCACTGGCAAGTTAGCGTCATATTCGTTCCCTGTGCCCGCATGCGGATTTGCGTCGGGAGCGTTTGAATTGGGAGCATGTTTCCGTGTCCGCGTCTGCATGCGCATGCCTGACTTGCTCGTGCGCCCCAAAGGCAACCGATACACCATTTGTCACGTTTGGCATGCACGGTGATGGTGACGGATTACATAAGCAATTTCCATACCGAAGTGGCGGTACAAGAAGCGCCTTAACAGTTCGGCCACCCCGTAGCTTCAGTCATGCGAAACTGCCTGACTGAACCGTCTTCGTCGCCGTCGTAGTCGTCGTCATCGTCGTCATTGTTTTGCTCGTCCTCCTCGTCGTCCTCGTCGCCGTCGCCGTCGCCGTCGTCGTCGTCGTCGTCGTGGTCGTCGTCGTCGTCGTCGTGGTCGTCGTGGGCGTCGTCGTCGTCGTCGTCGTGCCCTGCCCCCCCCGCTCCCCTCCGGCAGGCTGGCCGTGGCGACGCTATTCCTGTGCCGCGGCCCCCCCGCGGGAGGCGGGCCCGTTCCCGCGCCTGGCGCCGCCCCCTCGTGGCGGGGGCCCACAGTGGAGGGCCGCGGAGGTCAGTCCGGGCACGACGAGCACGGTGGGGGCGTTGGTGGAGGAATGTGCCCAGCAGAAGAAACAGAAGTTGGAGCGGGCGCTTTTTGGCCGTTCCGTTCTCTTTCTCCGGAGGACCTCGCCCGGCCTCGGGAGCGTCATAAAACGACTCAGGACGAGAAACCGGCCTTAAAAGGAAGTGGTCTGGACCTCCAGGGCTGACGAATTGAGAAAAAGAAATGGAGCAGCGGGATGCCTTGGAAGTAGACGCCGTGTGCTTAGAAGGCACGTGAGCAATGCTCTTATTCAGCCACATCCGTAACCTCGAGTTGAGGCAAGGCGGGCCGAAACGAGGAGCTGATGCCGCGCTGCTTCTGGCTCTCGCCGGTCCGCCGCCTTGGCTCCGATTTTCTCCGTCTCCCTCCACTCCTCGTCCACTTCCGCTCCTCCTCCCCCAGGCGAATTGTTTTTTTGCTTTCAAAATTCGCGAGCGATAGCAGTCTTTACTGGGAAGGTTCAGGGATTACAAAAGGCACAGCTCGGAGGTCAGCACTATTCGTGACGTTGCCCGGGGCGGCCGGGACCTGTAACGGCCGCTATCGCGAAGCATACAAGCGCCTTTCCAGGAGGGTTCAGACCTTGGAGGATTCCATATCTGACGTGGGCGGCAGTAGTATCCAAGGCCTATGCCTGCTGGTTGCGGTCCCACTGGCCTTCAGACCCAGGATTCCTTCTCCATTAGTTCCCCTTCTCCGACGCCCTCACCCTATCGCGGGCGAGAAGCAGAGGAGACAGACACGACATAAGCATGAATTCGCCGAGCTTCGCGCGGGCTTCTTGGGCCGAGGCTGCCCCCCCCCCCTGGCGGCGCCTAACTCAGGAAGGGAAAACACCCACACAGACACAATGTATCGACGATCCCCAGGAAAAGATGGGAACATATGGGAAGTGGGGGGGAAGACAAAAACCCAGACAGTATATAAATTAGCCTGGCGAAGGACCCAACCATATGCAGTTGTGAGTACCGCAGTTGTGAGTATTATCTTCGGTGGCGTTCCTTATGGGGCCACGAAGCGCTGTACTGGGTGCGTGAAACGCAGGGAGCAAGGGCTGTGCTGGGTGGTGGCTGACGCATGCGGGCGGTGCCACTGGGACCTTCGGTGGAGCCCCATGATGGGGCCACGAAGCGTTGTATTGGGTGGGTGAAGCGCAGGGAGCAAGGGCTGTGCTGGGTGGTGGCGGACGCATGCGGGCGGTGCCACTGGGACCTTCGGTGGATCTCCCTTATGGGGCCACGAAGCGCTGTACTGGGTGGGTGAAACGCAGGGAGCAATGGCTGTGCTGGGTGGTGGCTGACGCATGCGGGCGGTGCCACTGGGACCTTCGGTGGAACCCCATGATGGGACCACGAAACGTTGTATTGGGTGGGTGAAGCGCAGGGAGCAAGGGCTGTGCTGGGTGGTGGCGGACGCGTACTGGGTGGGTGAAACGCAGGGAACAACGGCTGCACTTGCTGGTGGCGGACGCATGCGGGCGGTGCCACTGGGACCTTCGGTGGAGCTCCCTATGGGGCCACGAATCGGTGTTCTGAGTTGGTGAAACGCAGGGAGCAAGGGCTGTGCTGGGTGGTGGCGGACGCATGCGGGCGGTGCCACTGGGACTTTCGGTGGAGCTCTTATAAGGCCGCAAAACGTTGTATTGGGTGGGTGAAACGCAGGGAGCAAGGGCTGTGTTGGGTGGTGGCGGACGCATGCGGGCGGTTTCATTGGGGGCTTCGGTGGAGCTCCCAATGGGGCCACGAAGCGCTGGCTGGGTGGGTGAAACGACGGAAGCAATGGCTGCACTTGGTGGTGGCGGACGCATGCGGGCGGTGCCACTGGGACCTTCGGTGGAGCTCCCTATGGGGCCACGAAGCGTTGTACTGGGTGGGTGAAACGCAGGGTGCAATGGCTGTGCTGGGTGGTGGCGGACGCATGCGGGTGGTGCCACTGGAACCTTCGGTGGGGCTCCCTATAGGGCCACGAAGCGTTGTACTGGGTGGGTGAAACGCATGGAACAACGGCTGTGCTGGTCGGTGGCGGACGCATGCGGGCGGTGCCACACCTTCGATGGAACCCCCTTTTATGGGGCCACGAAGCGCTGTACTGGGTGGGCGAAACGAAGGGAGCAATGGCTGCACTTGGTGGTGGCGGACGCATGCGGGCGGTGCCACTGGGACCTTCCGTGGGGTTCCCTATGGGGCCACGCAGCGTTGTATTGGGTGGGTGAAACGCAGGGTAAAATGGCTGTATTGGGTGGTGGCGGACGCATGCGGGCGGTGCCATTGGGACCTTCGGTGAAGCCCCCTTTTATAAGGCCACGAAACGCTGTACTGGGTAGGTGAAACGCAGGGAACAAGGGCTGTGTTGGGTGGTGGCGGACGCATGCGGGCGGTGCCGCTGAAACCTTCGGTGGAGTTTCCCATGAGGCCATAAAGCGCTGTGCTGGGTGGGTGAAACAAAAAGAACAATGGCTGTTCTGGGTGGTGGCGGGCGCACGCGGGCGGTGCCACTGGGACCTCCGGTGGCGCTCCCTATGGGGGCACGGAGCGTTGTACTGGGTGGATGAAGCGCAGGGTGCAAGGGCTGTGCTGGGTGGTGGCGGACGCACGCGTGCGGTGCCAGTGGGACATTCGGTAGAGATCGAAATGGGGCCACGAAGAGTTGTACTGGGTGGGTGAAACGCAGGGAGCAAGGGCTGTGCTGGGTGGTGGCGGACGCATGCGGGAGGAGGTGACACTGGGACCTCCGGTGGGGCCCCTTTATGGGGCCACGAAGCGCTGTACTGGGTGTGTGAAACGCAGAGAGCAAGGGCCGTGTTGGGTGGTGGCGGACGCATGTGGGCGGTGCCAGTGGGACCTTCCGTGGAGTTCCCTATGGGACCACGAAGCGCTGTATTGGGTAGGTGAAACGCAGGAAGCAAGGGCTGTGCTGGGTGGTGGCGGACGCATGCGGGCGGTTTCATTGGGGGCTTCGGTGGAGCTCCCAATGGGGCCACGAAGCGCTGTGCTGGGTGGGTGGAACGCATGGAACAAGGAGGAGGGAGGGGAGGAGGGGGAGGAGGAGAGGAGGAACGCGGGGACCGTCTCTTCAAAACGAGAACCCAACACCACAAGATGGTTGGGAATTATCTTGGCGACGGACCCAAGCATAGTCAGTTGTGAGTGACGCGTTGTGGGTGCCGTTATCGGTGGGACACGACACGCGTGAGTGGCGCGCCGTAGTGGGTGTGGCGGACGCGTGCGGGCACCTCCACTGGGGCCTTCGGTTGAGCCCCATATGGGGCCACGAAAAGCCGTGCTGGGTGTGGCGGACGCATGCGGGCACCCCCACTGGGACCTTCGGTGGAGCTCCCTGTGGGTCCACGAAGCGCTGTACTGGGTGGGTGAAACGCAGGGAGCAAGGGCTGTGCTGGGTGGTGGCGGATGCATGCGGGCGATGCCACTGGGACCCCCGGTGGGGCCCCCTATGGGGACACGAAGCGCTGTACAGGGTGGGTGAAACGAAGGGAGCAATGGTTGTACTGGGTGGTGGCGGACGCATGCGGGCGGTGCCAGTGGGACCTTCGATGGAGCTCCCTCTGGGGCCACGAAGCGGTGTACTGGGTGGGTGAAGCGCAGGGGGCAAGGGCTGTGCTGGTTGGTGGCGGACGCATGCGGGCGGTGCCACTGAAACCTTCGGTGGAGCTCACTATGGGGCCACGAAGCGCTGTACTGGGTGGGTGAAACGCAGGGAACAAGGGGTGTGCCGGGTGGTGGCGGACGCATGCGGGCGGTGCCACTGGGACCTTCGGTGGAGCCCTTTGATGGGCCCACGAAACGGTGTACTGGATGGGCGGGACGCAGGAAGCAAAGGCTGTGCTGGGTGGAGGCGGACGCGTGCGGGCGGTGCCATTGGGACCTTCCGTGGAGCTCCCTATGGGGCCGCGAGGCGCTGTACTAGGTGGGTGAAACGCAGAGAGCAAGGGCGTGATGGCGGACGCATGCGGGCGGTGCCACTGGGGGGTTCGGTGGAGCTCCCTATAGGGCCACGAAGCGCTGTGGTGGGTGGGTGAAACGCATGGAAAAACGAGGAGGGAGGGGAGGAGGGGGAGAAGAAGGAGGAGGAGGAGAGGAGGGACGCGGGGACCGTCACTTCAAAACGAGGACCCAACACCACAGGATGGCTGCGAACAACTCATCGGAAATTCATGATTTTGACATTTTTCGGGCCTTCCTGGAGGCCCTCTTGGAGGCCTCTTGGGCCGTCTTGGGCCATCTTAGGGCCATCTTCGGCCGTCTTGGTGGCCTCCTGGCCCGGCTGATGCCGTCGGAAGCCGTTTGGGGGGTCTTTTTGGGCTGCCTTGGGGCCCTCTTGGAATGCTCCAGGGCCGTCTGGGAGGTCTTCTTGGGCGTCTTAACGGCCTCCTGGGCCGTCTTGGGGGCCTCTTGAGGCCGTCTTGGGGGCCTCTTGGGCCGTTCTGGGGCCCTCTTGGAGGCCTCTTGGGCGATCCTTGGGCGATCTTTGGGGGCTCTTGGGCCGTCTCGGGCCGTCGGAAGGCCGAAATCCTTCAAGACCCATAGGACAATCTGTGTTGTTGGCCTTTTTGGCCTTCCTGGAGGCCCTCTTAGAGGCCTCTTGGGTCGTCTTGAATGCCTCTTGGGAACCTCTGGGGCCGTCTTGGGCAATACTGAGGCCATCTCAGGCCTTCTCGGATGCATCTTGGACCGTCTTGGGGGCCTCTTGGGGTCATCTTAGCCGTCTTGGAGTCTATCGTGGTCGTCTTGGAGGCCTCTTGGGGCCGTTTTGGAGGCCTCTTGGGCCGTCATGGGGCCTTCTTGGAAGCCTCGTGGGCGATCTTGGGGCGATCTTGGCGGCCTCTTGGGCAGTCTTGAGCCGTCGGAATGCCGAGAAGAGGCAAATGCCAAAATCCTTCAAAAACCTAAAGGAAATCCATGATGTTGGCCTCTTGGGGCCTTCCTGGAGGACCTCTTTGAGACCTCTTGGGCCGTCTTGGAGGCTTCTTGGGTGAACTTGGATGTATCTTGGACCCTCTCGGGCCGTCTTGGAGGCCATCTTGGAGCATCTTTGGCGGACTTGGAGTCAATCTTGGAGGCCATCTTGGGCCAACGTGGCCATCTTGGAGGCCATCTTGAGCCGTCTTGGAGGGCTCTTTCCGGGATTGAGCTCCTGAGCAATCCTCCCGGGACCCCGGCGGGACGCGCTGGAGCCCCAGGGGAGTTCTTTGGGCAAAAGAACCAAAACCAAAACCGAAATCTTCTAGCACGCCAGGCGCCCCTGTGATGAATCAACAGGGGGCGGCGGATCCAGCTGCCTGCGGCAAGTCCCGCCACCGTGCCAGCCCTGTTTCCTGGGTGGAGTCTGTTCGAGGCGGCACGGGAGAAGGGCATGTGTGACAGTTTGTGTCCCCAGGTTTAGGGATGATCATGAGGATGAGGATGAGGATGAGGATGAGGATGAGGATGATGGTGGTGGTGATGATGTTGATAATGATGTTGATGTTGATGTTGATGACGATGATGATGGTGATGGTGTGTGATTGATGGTAATGATGATGTTGGTGCTTATGTTGATGCTTATGCTGATGCGAATCATGATGATGATGATGATGATGATGATGATGATGATGATGATGATGATGATGATGATGATGATGATGATGATGATGATGATGATGATGATGGAAAGAGCGTGTTCTACCGCTGCTGGCGGAAAACCGGGGGGGGTCACTACCGGTTCGAACCCCTCCCCCCCCCCCCCTCCGGAAAACCGGGGGGGGTCACTACCGGTTCGAACCCCTCCCCCCCCCCCCAGCTCATCATGAAAAGGGGGGGGGTCACTACCGGTTCGAACCCCCCCCCCCTCGAAAACCGAGTGGGGGTGCGGACAGTGGTGGGGACGGTGTTGGTGGGGACAGTGGTGAGGGGACAGCGGGACAGTGGTGGGGACAGTGGGGGGACAGTGGGACAGCGGTGGGGACGGTAGTGGTGGGGACAGTGGTGGGGACAATGGTGGGAACAGGGGGGACAGTGGACAGTGGTGGGAACGGTGGTGGTGGGGACAGTGGTGTGGGGACAGTGGGAATGAGGTGGAAACACTGGGACAGTGGAGGGTACAATGGTGGTGGGGACACTGGTAAAGGCGGTGGCGAGGACGGCGGTGGGACAATGGGACAGAGGTACAGTGGGGACAGTGGTGGGGACAGTGGGGACAGTGGTGGGAACAGTGGGACAGCTCAGTGGGACAGCGGAGGAGTCAGTGGGACAGTGGGGACAGTGGGGATAGGCAGTGGTTGGGTCCGTGGAGACAGTGGGGAGAGTGGAACCGTGGTGGGAACAGTTGTGGGAACAGTGGGGACAGTGCGACAGTGGTGGGGGCACTGGTGGGGACAATAGGGACGGTGGTGGAACCAGTGGGGGCAGTGGTGGTGAGGACAGTGGTGCTGGGAACAACAGTGGGGGATGTGATGCGAGCGGTGGTAGGGACCGGGAGTCGTTTGCTGGCGGTGCGTGGGGGGGGGGGGTCGAACCGGTAGTGACCCCCCTCCGGTTTTCGAGGGGGGGGGGGGGGGGGGGTTCCAACCGGTAGTGACCCCCCCCGGGTTTTCCGGATCCGGAGGGGGGGGGGGGGGGGGAGGGGTTCGAACCGGTAGTGACCCCGCCGGTTTTCGAGGGGGAGGGGGGGGGGGGGAGGGGTTAGGGGAGGGGGGGGTTTTGCCGGGGGGGGAGGGGGGGGGGGGGGGAGGGGTTCCAGCAGGGGGGGGGAGGATTTTCGGGGGGGGGGGGACCCCCGGGTTCCGGAGGAAAAGGTTGGCAATTTTCCACAGTAAAGCGGCGGTGGATCACGCTCTCTCTGATGATGATGATGATGATGATGATGATGATGATGATGATGATGATGATGATGATGATGATGATGATGATGATGATGATGATGATGATGATGATGATGATGATGATGATGATGATGATGATGATGATGATGATGATGATGATGATGATGATGATGAGCATGATGATGATGATGATGATGATGATGATGATGATGATGATGATGATGATGATGATGATGATGATGATGATGAGCATGATGATGATGATGATGATGATGGTGGTGGTGGTGATGATGATGATGGTAAATAGTGAGGTGGAGGAAGAGGATGGGGTTGAGGAAGATGAGGAAGGATGAGGATGAGGGTTGAGGATGAGGATGAGGATGAGGATGAGGGTGAGGGTAAGGATGAGGATGAGGAGGAGGAGGAGGAGAAGGAGGAGGAGGAGGAGGAGGACGTGCAGGAAGAGGAGGATCAGTAGGAGCAGGAGGAAGAGGAAGGCAGTCACGTGTGACACCCTGCGTCTTCACGAGTTGAGGAGCCATCCTCGAACTTGTTGTGGCCGACTTGTGGCTGTTTGTTTTGGCCTCCTGTGGGGCAGTCTTGGAGGCGCCTGGGGCCCTCTTGGGCCTTTTTGGGGCTGTCTGAGGCCGTCCTGGGAATCGTTTGTGCCGTCCTGGAGACATCTTGGCCTCGGGAGCGGGCACTTGTCGTATTTTACAAAGGATGGTGGCCTCGGGAACGCGGTTTTGTAGTTTGCAAGGAGGGGGCGATGCATGCAGGCCAGCGCTGGTAGCGGGGGGGGGGCGCCCTAGAAGATGAGAGAAACCCCACCAGACAGCACTTGGAGTTGTAGCACGCCCCAACAGTGGCGGATTCTCGGTATTCAGCTGCGTAGAAGCGGCGGCTTGAGGGAAGGGGACAAACACAAAGGGAAGAAGGACGACAGGGCGGAGGAGAGGATAATGACGAAGAGGACCAGCAGGAGGACAGTGAGTGACAATGGTGTCATTTGAGGTCCGCAAGCGGTCGCAGCGGCAGCATTGGCGGCTGCGGTGTGAACGTCGTGCGAGTGACATTTCCCATAGGGCATGTATCGGCCGCGCGTCGATTACTTAGTTAGCGTGGTTCCTTCGCACTTGCGAAGTGGCTACGCAGGGGATCGCCCATTGGCAGGGCCCTTCTTATTCGGGGGATCGACGGTTTTGTAGCTTCTGGGATGCGAGCTTCGCTGGATATGTTTGGGAGCCGCGTCATGTAGAAAACAGCCATCGGCGGCGACGGAGGCGCGGACAGCGGCAGCAGCGGCGACCACGGCAGCAACAGCAGCGGCGGCCTCGTGGGCGAGCGCGCCCCCGAGCGCTGGCGGGCGACCTGCTCCGCCCTGGCAGCGGCGATTGCCCCCTTAACTCCGCCGCCCCGTCCGTAGCCGCTGTGGCTCGAGCAGGCGGAACCGGGGCGTAGCTCCTTCTCCGCGGGCGCGCCGCCGGAGTGCGTGCTCTGATGCAGCAGCTCGGCCCGCCGCCGTGGGGCTCGCTGCACGCTTCCGCCGCGGGCCGAGAGGCACCAGGCGGCGTGCTCTTGCGCGTCAAGCGGCGGCGCAGCGCAGAGGCGCTGCCGGAGATCGTCGCGGAGGTGCCCGACGAGCACGGCGCGGGGCCCACGAAGAGGCCTCGGACGGGCGCTGCTTCCACCACCACCCTGCGATTGATCGACTCCGTGGAGCCAGACCAGTGGTCCTTCGAGCTCGGGCTCCCGGCCAGTTGGCTGCAGTGGGCGTCTGGCGGCCGCGCCGCGCCGGAGGTGGAGCTGCCGTGGCCGCCGGGCGAGCCGCCCCCGGCCGGCGCCAGCCTGGTCTGCCAGAACTCGGCGCGACGGGCTGGCGCCGGCGCGGCGCTGCAGGAGGTGGGGCGGCGGCTGGTGGCCGGCGGCGCGGCGGGCGCCCCGCTGCAGCTGGTGGACGTGGAGATGGCGCGGCAGGCCGTGCCCGCGCCTCCGCCAGCCTTCACCGTGGGAGGCCTCCCCCTCCTGGCTGAAGCCGTGGACGGCCCGCCCGCCGCCGCCGCGAGCGCGGAGCCGCCGGGCGGGAGCGACGAGGACTTCCTCTGGGACGTCTACGCGCCCAGCGACGCGCAGCCCGAGGGCCTCGGGGGGGCCTTCGGCAGAGGCCCCGGGGCGCGCGTGCTGCTGGCGGCGCCCCTCCAGGGCGACGAGGACCTGGAGGACCTGGAGGACATCGACGACTCGCAGTCCTCCTCCGGCGCGGGCGGGCTGTGCAGCGGAGCGAGCTCCGACGCAGGCCCCGAGGACGCCCGCGGCGGCTGCCAGTGGGTGAACGTCCTCGACTGAGGGAGGGCGCGGCTCGCGCGCCCTCGCGCCGCGGGGTGGGGAGGCGTGCCGAGGTGCCGCGGCAGCGCGCGAGGCCCTGGCGGCGTCTCTTGGAGGCCGAACGGCGCTCTCGCTCGGGCGCCGGCCAGGACTACCTTTAATGAAGTCGGGCGGGTCCGTCTACAGGAGGAAGATTCAAAAATAGTCTACAAATAGTCAGGGGACGATTCGTCGACCATTTTCGAGAATGTTGGTGCATGTTCTGCACATGTTTCACTTTTCGTCCAAAATCCGCCTGTATGGGGACACGCCCGACCTAAAACTACCTGGTAAGACACTTCTTGTTTCCGCCAAGCCCCTGCAAACGGGCCGGTAGCTGAGGGTGCGTTTTCGGTGGCGTTTTCAAAAAACGGATTTGCCGCGCACCAGTGCGAGGTAAACCCCCCAGCCCAGAGCTAGGATGATGCATCGACGTTTTTGTCGTCCCGATGTATCACGCACGGGTGCGGGGCAGATGCCTTGTCATCCCGTTCTCGCTTGAAGAGGCCCCTTATCTACAACCCCATTTACTAACGCCCCGTTTGCAGGGGCTTCGTATTCTCGAGGGTTGACTGGGCTGTCCTGGGAGTTGATATTTCCCTTGTGATCTGTAAGATCTAGATCAGTTTCATTGCTACCGCCATCCGCATCCACATCTTCAGCTTCACATCATCGCAAGACGCTTTGGTACCACATCCAATCCGGACAGTCATGTTAGCTTCTGGACTAGATGTGCCCACACAGCCGGCCGCTGGGTTTTTGTGATGCACAAGCATCGCTTTACAAATGAGGTCATATGGTGAGGTTGCTTTTCCAGTTTTTCAAGTCGTACTAGTTTGTCTTCTCTTGCCAGTTTGAAGAAGCACCAGTGGTTTGGGACTGGCCCCTGTTGGTTGGGAATCCGAGATGCGGCTTGGACCCCCCCCCACGAGCTGGTCTCCCGAAGCCTCGACCCCCACCCCACCCCGGGTAACGACCGCTGCCGGAAATTATGTCAGCTTGAATCATATCCCGATGGATTGACATGACGGCGACGGTGACGATCGCGATGGCGATGACGAGGAGGGGGAGGAGGGCGAGGGGAAGGAAAGATGGGAAAAGAAGGAAGGAAGTCGCTTGGCGCTGCCCACACAAAGCAAGGACCCAACACCACAGGCTGGTTAAGAAACACGACATCCAATGCGGGGGGGAGAGTTTTCGGCCGTCGTCCGACGGCGACCGCGCGGGCGTGGCGGCGACGTGACGAGCCCTCTCTGCCAGGCGCCCTGTGCTTCCGGTTTCGGCCCCGGTGCGCCCCAGCGCTCGGGCAAGCGGGCGGGTCCTCGCAGCTGGGGTGCCGAGGCGCGCGGCGGCAAGCCGACTCTGGGGAGCGTTAGTGTGAGGCCTCCCAGATGGGGTTGGAGTAGGAGGAGGAGGAGGAGGAGGAGGAGGAGGAGGAGGAGGAGGAGGAGGAGGAGAAAGAGGAGGAGGAGCAGCAGGTGGAGCGACGACTGGGACGAGGACGCGGTGGACGACGACTACGACGAGGAGGAGGAGGTGGAGGAGGGGGACGAGGAGGACGCGGTGGACAAAGAGAACGGAGAGGACGAGGAGGAGGAGAAGGACGGGAAGGACGGCGAGGTGGACGAGGTGGACGAGGACGGGGGACCCCCGCGGGATTTCCCACTCACGAGCGGTGCGACCGGACGTGGAGGAGGGCGAAGTCGAAACGTCCAAGCCTCCGAGATGGGGTCGGAGGATCGCACCGCATCGCCGATGGATCGCCGATGCGGCTCGATATGGAGCCCGATTTTCTCCACGCTGGCGTCGCCGATGCATCGCCGTCGTCGCCGCGGCTCGAGGCTGTCTGATGTCTTTGTCCGTTCTCGGCGGCTTTCCAGCCTCGGAGGTCTCTCCAGCAGCTCCCGTCTCGCCGGGAGGCTTCCAGGGGTGCCCGGCGCCCGGATCGTGCCGAGCGGTCGCCCGTGAGCCGAGTCATGACCCGAAAATTGAACGACAAGGATTATGTGGGCGGGGAAGTCTCAGGGGGCTTCTCGGGCGCCGGTTTCGCCCCGTGTTCAGGTCCGCGATCGGCCCGCGGCCCACCTGTCAGAACAGGAAAAAACACATAAGCACAAAGGGTTTTATTGGTTTTACGCCGGAAGGGGGCGTCGTTGAGAGGATGCCTGGCACGGATGCGGGGATCGGGGTGGCGTCGGTGTTTGGAGTTGGCGGTTTGCGCGGCAAGTGCGTTTAGCTGGTCGCATGTGTTCGGAACGCGTGACGGGTGGAAAGGCCGCTCGCCAGCAACTGGCAGTCCTCTGCCCGAGGGCCAGAACAAATCGTCGCGCGCTCGCAACGGGGTGTGGGAAAGGGGGTTGGGAAGAGAGCGCGAGTCTCATTCCCAAGAAGTCCCTTCGATAGGCAGCAAGCAATGTTTGTTCTATTCATCTGCCGCGCGGCCAACCGAACGAACGAACAACTGCCTCGGCGCGCAGTGTTAGCATCTCTTGCGCGCATCCTGGCTTCCTTCCGCTGCTTCCTTCGGTTCTTTCTCGCCCTCCTCTCCTTTTTCCTCTTCCCCGGCTTTGCCTTGTCCCGCCCCCTTTCCTTTCCAGCTCGGAGCTGTCACCGCGCGCGAAGAGCGCAACCCAAAGGCGTTGCTGTAATTCTTTTTGTGTGCCACGAAGTCTCGTGTACTTCCTTTGTGTACGGACTGGTTACACTGCCAACGCGGGGTGCGCACAAAGGAGCTTCCTTTGTGTAAGATCGTTTTCGCCGCCCCCACAAGAGCACGCGCGATTTCTTTGTGTAGAGCTTGCTTTCCCGCCTCGAGGAGCGCGCGGGGCCTGGCGCTACAATCACAAGGCCGCGGCGCCTGGCGGTGCGATGCCGCTGCGCCGGATACCACGCCCAAAACGATCCTACGTGGATTTCGGCCCTTCTGCCGAAGTCGCGCTGGCAGCTGGCCAGCCACATCGCCGGCCCTGCATGCCCGCGCGCGCTACTGCGTTCTGCTGCCGCGACGCGTGCTGCTGTCAACGGATGGACGAACTGACGTTGCACGGTGGTTTGGTTGTGCCAAACCACCATGGAATGTTGATTTGTAGCGGATATTGGGATCTCGTCTCATCCGACAGCCTTGCCACACCGTACATGTCAGTTGCATCCTAGAGCGCGGCCGCGCACCAACCCTGGTTCGGATCGTTGGGGATCCAGTGGCATGTGTGCACATGCGTGGTGCCAAAACCCTTTGTGTGAAATGCGTTTGTGTGTGTGTGTGTGTCTGTGTTTTTCTGGTTCCTAACCTGCCCGTTTCATTTCCGCCTTCATTGCGTGTCCCGTGCGGTTTCATTCGTCACCGTCCAAAAGCGAAACAACAAGAACAAAACAAACACGGGGGAATCTGAAAACGAGAGGGGGGGAAAGAAACGCCCCCAACGCTTGCAAAAACAGCTGCAGTCGGGGCCCTGAAGAAGGAACCCTTTTCGTTGGGGAGGGGTTCCGCGTTCCTTAAGTGTTTCACAGCTTGCCTCAGGCTTTCCTTATGTTTTCGACCGGAAATCGAAGGTTAACTTATGGAAAAAAGGGCCTCGTTCCTTATTTCGGGTTCTTGAGTTCAACGCTCCGACAGTACCTTCCAGGACGGCTCCAAGCGACCTCTTCGTTGGCGGCCCCGAAGGGTCAGGGACGGGCCACGCGCGTTCGAGGGCGGTCCAAAGGGGGCCTCAAAACGACCGAGGAGAGTTCGGATCTTGAGCGCGACCGCTTCGGAAGCACTGTGAGCCGGCGAGAAGCTGCAGCTACCTCGTGCAATACTCGACTACACGTAAGTCGGGGAAACGTAAGACTTGAGTACGCCTGGACTCGGGTCTGCCAAAACATTTTGACGAGCGCTTCGGGCATTTTGACGGTCCAGTTTTTGTGGGAGTTCTGCAGCGGGAGTTCGTGTCAAATTTCAGATTGGGCCTCGTCATTTTCATGATGGCCCCGCCAGGCCAACCCGAGTCACCCGAACCCGAGTCTTACACCTCCCCGAGTAAGAGTGACCCTTCGTAGGGGTGACCTTTTGGTGCGGGCCTGTCAGGGTCCCACGATCGCCGAACGTGATGCGGTAGTAGCGTCTTGCGCTCTTGTGTTGTGTCCCCCCCGCGGCCCCCCAAAAGCCGCGCACCAAAGGTCATTCTTACCCAGGGTCACTCTTGCGTGTAGCCGACAATGCACGTGAACATGTCTAGTTCCGCGGTGTTCTCCAAGGAGTCCGCGGGCGACTTTTCATCACAGCTTGCTGCCATTATGATTGGTCGCTTGTTTATGCCTGCTCGCTTCTCATCGCAGGCCCCATACACTAAACAGACAAGCGCTTGTCATTGCAGCAGGCCCCTTGGACTATCCAACGAGCGTCTCTTTTGCTGTCCTTCCCTCCAGTCGCTTCACTGCCACTCTTTTCCGTTTGAGCTTCGCCCACGGCGTCCCCGCACTACATATTAGAGACCATGGTGCCCAGTGTCAACGCATTCGCTCTTGAAACCTCAAGCTCGAGTTCCCTGATGGGCCACGACGGGCCAGGGACCACCGAGTCCATCTGCGAATGCTTACCGGATCCACTTACGACAGATCCGTTCACACATACACGAGTGCAGTAAGCCACGGTTCACCGAATCACAGTTAAGGATAACCTCGCACGATGCCACGTTGCATACACTTGGGTGTTTGCGCACGTCGTGGTACCACCTTTCGAGTAGCGGGTGCATCCTCAGAGCAGGTTTTCTGCGCGATTGCGCCTCAGGTGTGTGTCCTTATTCGCCGCTCAGGCTGCAGCCGCAGAGCTTGTGATCCAGGCCTAAGGTGCATTTGACCTTCGAGTGCTCCTTCGCTGGGTGCCAGCCGTCGCTGCGCTTGACCTGCTGAGACGAGGACCACGGAGGTTCCCTAGACCACGTCGCCAAGCAGAGTCGACCCACGATCGCTGTGGCGGGGTCATCCCGACCTATCCTCGCGCGCGCCCGCATGCAGCCAATTGCGCGGATGGTGAGGAGGCCCGCGATCGAAACACGGCAGGATGCAGGATGGCGCATGCGGGATAAGGGGGGAGGAGGATGCGATGCTTCCAGCTCGAGGAGGGAACGCCCCTTCGGTTCGGGGTCAGCGCGCTCTGTTCCGATCTGTGCTATTGCAGCGTTGGCGACCACTGGCGAGGTACAGATTCACTGCGAGCGCTCGTATTCACGACTCGGGGCAGCTTTGACCGCTTGAACAACATGGAGTTGCCTTATACCAGGACTGATCGAGGGTCGCGGTCGGTGAGCTTCGAGGTCAGTTCCTGTGTGAGAGCGGCCTCCGGAGAGAAGAGCACCATGGGAGGGCGGAAACAGCAAGCGATGCGGGCGCGGTTGGCAGCCGCTGCCTCGGTGCCCCGGCTTTGCGGCGCGCGCGCCCAGACGCAGCAGCGCAACAGGAACTGTTTCAAGTCCACGCTCGCGGACGTACATCTATGTAGATACTCATGCATAGGGATCTAAGTATATCTATATACACATATATATATATATACAAGACTGCATTGGCGCTGCGCGTCATGCACCTTGGTCCTTTGGATTTCGCACGCTAGCGGAGTGCGAGCGTGCGTACATGCCCACACACATGCGTCTATGAATGCATAATACATATGTACATATATATATATATATATATATATATATATATATATGTATATATATAGGTACATATATATACGTTTGTATGGACATGTACATGTATATGCAAATGGTCAGTGTAACTACGTGTGCGCATACACATGCGCATATCAGGCGGTAGTGGCCTGAGCAGTTGCTCGTATAATCGCGCCACTAAAAGGCACGAGGGTCTCAGGCAAACGTGGTCAGACGACCCTGGGACAATGCGTCGCCGAGGTCAGTGTTGCGAGGACGTCCCGGGTGAAAACGGCCTGAACACCTCCGCTCAGGGGAGGGCATATCCGAAGTGAGCCGTGCGAGGAAGTTTCAAGCGAGGAGTGGTCTGAACACCTCTGCTCATGGCATCCTTGAACTTAGAGTTGCGAGAAGTCGCACGCGAAAGTGGCCGAACCGCCATGGTGCAAGGCACCTCCGAACTGAGACTTGCGAGAGTGTCGCAGGCGACAGTGGCCGGAACACCTCAACTAAGAGTGTCTCGGGCCCCAGAGCTGCGATGATGTCTCAAACGAAAACGGCGGGACCGATGCGAAGCAAGGCGCTTCTGAGGTCGGAGTTGCGAGCATATCTCTGGCGAAATTGATTAGAGTACTTTCCGTTATCTCTTCTTCCTCCTTCCCCTTTTCCTTTCCTCCTCCCCCCCTCCTCCCCCATCCTCCTCCTCCTCCTGTTCCTCCTCCTCCTCCTCTCCCCCCTCTCCGCTTCTTTGTTTGTCCATTCTCCCCATCCCTGGCGGCGCGGCGCGGCGCCGCTCGGCCTCTCTGCGAGTCAAGCGGAGGAGGAGGAGGAGGAGGAGGAGGAGGAGGAGGAGGAGGACGTTGCGAGTGTTCGCGCGGCCGTGAGTCCCCAGGGAGTGTTTCCCCAGGATGCATGCTGAAACCGAGGTGCCCGACGGCCTGATCTCCGACATGTCACAACAACCTCGGATCCCAACAGCGCGTCCGGATGAGATGGTGTCGTGGCCCCGATGGTTTGTGTTGAGCGCTGCGAGAAGCTCAGTCGAGGCGGGAGGAAGAACATGAAGAGGATGAGGAGAAGGAGGAGGAGGACGAGGAAGAGGATGAAGAAGACAGATTATGTGGATATCTGGGGCACAGCCGAGGTGTCGCGGAAGAAATCCGCAGCAGAGACTCGGGAGAGTGAGGAGAGCTGCTTCTGCTAGACCTTTGGCGGGGCGGGGCGTGAAACACCACGGGGAATTAGGAGAATGAGGAGGAGGAGGTAGAGGAGGAAGGGAATGAGGAAGAGGAGGAGGCTCAGGAGGAGCTCTTGGGTACTTCGGTGGTTTGAACGGAAGATGGCCTCGCTGCGCCATTGGATATGACAACGACGACGACGGATAAGGCGACGGCGAAGAGAAGGGAGAATGAGAGGGGGAGACCGCTGCGTTGGGATCTCGTGGTGCGCCTCTCGGGGCCCTCTGGGAGGCAGTTTTGAAGCGTCCTGGGGGCGTTTTGGGGTTCTTGGGATCTGTGTGGGGCCTCTTGGGGGCCTCTTTGGGGCTCCTTGGGGCCTCTTGGGGGCCCCTTGGGGCCTCATGGGGCTCTTTCTGGGCCTCTTGGGGCCCTCTCGCGGCGTTTTTTTTTTTTTTTTTTTTTTTTTGGGGGGGGCTTTTCTTTTTTATCCAATTATATATATAATAAATAATAATAATAGTAAAATAATAATGATACTGATAATAATAATACTAACAATACTAATAATACTGATAATAATAATAATAACACTAATAAAATGTTTGGGCGCCCTCTTGGATCTCTCTTGGGGCCGTCTTGGTGCTCTCTTGGGCCGTCTTAGGCGCCTCTTGGGCGGTCTCGGAGCCCTCCTGGACCGCGTTGGGGCCTTTTTGGGGGCCTCAGTGTCGGGGCGACCTAGGGGGCCTCTTGGGCCATTGTGGAGCGTCGGGAAGCGGGAAAAACGAGAAGGCCAAAAACATCGGAAACACACACACAGGGAAATCAACAGTTGTAGCCTTTCGGGGCTCTCTTGGGGCGCCTCTTGGGGGTCTCTGGGGGCGTCTTGGACGCGTCTTGGGCAGTCTTGGGCCCAGATTGGGCGTCTTGGGCCGATCTGTGGGTGTCTCGGGGCCCTCTTTGGCCGTCGTGGAGGCTTTTTTTTTCGCGTCGCATTCGCAGGACAGACACGAAACACTTTGCAGGAGCGCCCCAAAAGCTCGGGGAGGCCGAAATTCGTTGGGGGGGGAGGGTGGTGGGCACCGTGTGCCGCTTTTTCCGGGGTCCCCAGCCTTGTGTATATATATATATATATATATTATATATATATATATATATATATATATATATATAGGAATATATACTGCGGAGGCCGTGCGGCCGTCGCCGCCGATCCTGAAGTCGGGACTTTCCCCAGGACCCCCCGCTGGCGACCTCCCCGAGACCCGCCAGGACCCCGGTGGGGGGGCGGCCTTCTGGCCCAGAACCCCCCCCGATATGGGAGGGAAATGGAAGGGAGACGAGTTACTTACGAGGTTCTCTTCATTGTGCCTCCCTTCCTTGGGACTGACGGCGACGACAACGACGACTCGAACGGAACAGCGTCCAGCCCACACGCCGAAGCGTTGGCGGACTTATACCGTGGGCGCTGGCCAGAATCCTATTGCTAGGGGGCCACGTGCGAACCCTCCCCCTCAGAAATCGTGGGGGGTAGGGGTAGGGTTCGCACGTGGCCCCCTACCACTGCCAATTTACCCCATCGAACATGCCGCGGTCAGCGCTTCGGGGGGGGCGCCGATGCCGGCCAGGTCCGAGGCCCTCTGGAAGGGGCCTCCCGCCCTCGTGCTCCCCGCCCTCGCCACGGCGAGCAGCGCCGGCGCCGAGAGCGCAGCCCCGCCCGCAAGAGCTCTCTCCCTCTTTCTCTCTCTCCTCCTCCTCCTCCTCCTTTTCGTCCTTTTCCTCCTCCCTCGTCCTCCATGTCCTCCTCCTCCTCATAAACCTCTCCCCCCTCCGCCATCATCCGTCACCCACCATCACCGCACCTTCCGCCCCCCCCTCTCGCGACGCCAGGGTAGAAGCAATGCTCCGAGGCAGGGATTTACACATGACCACCGCCTGGTGGATCAGTTTTCGTGGACCTCGGCAGGCGGTGGGTATGGATATATTCTGGCCCCCGTGGGCCAAAACATATCCATATCCACCGCCCGCGGGGGCACCAGGACGTCGCCTCCCAGGTGGTGGGTGTCGCGGAGCTCATCGGCAACAGCAGCAGCATGTGCATGAGAGCTGCCTGCGGGTGGCCAGCAGTTGCGGCTCAGCCAGCGTTAAAATTGTTGAAGCAGTTTGCGCCCAAACCAGCGTTCAAATTGTTAAAGCAGTTTGCGCCCACGTCCGATTGCCACGGAGCCCCGACAAATGCTAGTGAGAGCTTCATTCCCAGACCCCCGACGTCATTACGTCGACCCCCCGAAGTCTCGACGTATTCATCGTTTTTTGACGGCCCCGAGGCCCAGTGCGTAAGGGCCCCCAGGGGCCTAACATGGCGAAAGATTTCCCGACGTGGGATTTCTCCTTGCTCGAGGGGGTCTGGGTTCGCCCACATGCACAAGCGTTTCCGCCATGCCCTCTCGCGATTCAAGCAGTGGCGAAGCGTCCCAGATCGCTTAGAGGCCCAACCAAAGAAGGTTCTAAGAACCGTTTGTGGTTTGCACGACATGTTCTTAGAATATTTCTGGCTTGGGCTGTCTTGCTTTCACAAATCGGGCTTCTGTTCTAAGAGCGTCGCTCTTGTTCTTAGAACGTTTTTGAATTCCGAGAGCATGCCGTGGTATGCTTGTCGGAATGCCGGGACGGTCGGTCCATGCTCAAGCGACGCGCTGTCCAGCTTCGGCAGCGCCTCGCCCCCCCCCCCGCGCCGCGAGGCCAGCCGTGGCTTCGCATGCGGCCGCGGCGCGGTCAGGGCGGGCTGCGCTACGAGGGCGGGGCGGCCGGGTCCCAGACGGCCCCCGGCACGGTGCCCCAGCCGGCCCCGGGCACGAAGGCGGACTACGACTACGGAGACCGCGCGCCCATGGCCCCTTCGAGCAGTGACAATAAATCATGACGGGAGGTGTTTTGCCATGCTCGGCCTTTTGGGAGCCCTCACCGAGTTTCGGGGCCGTCAAAGAACGATTCGGGATGGAAAACGGGTCCCGGGGAGTAGGTCGAGACCCCTGGGGGGTCGACGTAATGCAAAAATCATGACGTCGGGTGCCTGGGTGGGTCCGGGGCGCCCTAGTGGCGTCACCCCAACATATTCATTGATATGTGCGTCGCCCCCCAGGGGCGCTGCGCGCACCAAGAAATCTTGTAGTATATGCGTCGTGGCGGGCGCTTTCTGGCCACGCCTCTCGGGAAACGATATACTACAAGATGGGTGTACAATCTGTTCGGTTCGGACGCGCGCCTCCGAGGAGGACATCTAGTACTAGTCTGTCTCTGTGCGTCCCATCCAAGAGGAGCTCGGTAGCAACTCGTGGCAGCCTTGCGCGTCCTCGGCGCTCCTTTAGAGTACGCCTTGCCCTGTCTGACTCTCTCTCTCTCTTGCTCTCACCCGCTCGCTCGCTCTCTCTCTCTCTCTTTCCCTCTCTTTCTTTCTTTCTTTCTCTCTCTCTCTCTCTCTCCCTCTCTCTCTCTCTCTTTCTCGCTCTCTAAAGGGCTCCCCGGACCATGTTACAGCGGCGACCGCGTGGGTCGGGTCGGGCGGGTGGCAATGGGGGGTGACTTGAATGAGGTGTGACGAGAAGGGCCCCAAAGGCTGGTTCTACCAGGAGTGCTAGAGGGCCCTATTAGGGCACTTTGCTCACCCCCCATGTAGGTCACGCCCCATTGCCACCCGCCCAGTCGGGGGCGTCCAAAAGGGGTTCGGTAGCAGCTCATGGCAGCCTTGTGCATCCTCGCGAATCTTTAATCGATGAGGAAGCGCCGATTTAGCATCGACTGGCGTCGATTCGCGTTGGTCAAGCGTCGACTTAGCGCTGATTTGCAAAAGCCAGCAAGACGGTATGGGAGGCTCCCACGGCATGTGGCATGAGTTGCCGCAGAAGAGGGGGGTGATACATGGGGGACTATCATGGCCGCGGCCATGATGTCTCCCCAGATCTCATTCCCCCCTCTTGTCATGTCAGTGCGTCCCCTGATCCCCCACTCGTCCACGCACATGCCTCGGGCCATGACGTGCGCGCACCTCCTCTTGGACTTGGTCTCACCAGAACTAATACGTAGCGCCCCACAACTGCAAACAAGAGCGAGGGGGCTCTGAAGAAGCCCGCCGCAGGGGCCGAATGTTTTGCAAATTATGCAACGAGCCCGCCGCAGGCGCCGATTTGCTCGTTCAAGCAATGTGGGCGTGGTGGGTTGGTCGCGGGCAGGGTCGCAGGTTGCTCGCAGGCGGGTCGCGGGTGGGTCGCGGGTGGGTCGCGGGTGGGTCGCGGGTGGGTCGCGGGCAGGGTCGCGGGCCGGGTGGCGGGCCAGGTCGCGGGTGGGTCGCGTGCAGGGTCGCGGGCCGGGTGGCGGGCCAGGTCGCAGGTGGGGGGACGACAGCAATCAACAAACCACAACTAACGAATAACAAACAACGCAACAACAATCCGCACAGCGGATTTGCATTTCAGCCACGCGCTCAAGTACAATGAATGACCGTTCGGCCCATTCACTCTGATATAGCTTACTACCGATAGCTCTCTCATTTCTCCACGCGTATGTGAATACACAAATACGTGTGTGCATCATCTGCCCTGTCCTCATAACTTGCCTGGTATCTTTCTTTTTGGGCGTGCCCTGACCAGCCCGCTCTCCGTTGCCCATCCCCGACGCGGCAGCGGGCCGCCAGTGTCCCAGAGCCGGCCTACGTGGGACGATCTGGAGATCGGGAAGCCGCCGCGCGCTTCAGAGGCTGAACCGTCCGCGCGGCCACGCGGTGTCGGGAACCGGCGCCCGGGTCGCCACGACAGGAACTCGCCGCATGCCGTTTGCTTCCCGCCCCGCGCCCAGGAGCGTATTTGGTGCCGGCGAAGCGGCCGATGCCCCGCGCCCAGCCCCGAGAGAGGGGACGGGGCGGCGAGGGTTGGCGGGCGGGTCCAGGCCCCCTTCTCGGGCGTGGAGGAAAACGTATAGACGAAGATGTTGTCCATCGCGTTTGGTGCGTTCCTCCCCTGCCTCCTGCACCCGCCTCATCCCTCCTCACCTTATCCATCCCTCCTCTCTCCACCTTTCTCCTTTTCTTTTCCCCCCTTTCTCGTCTATCAGTTTGTTATGTATCTTTCTTTCTCTCTCTATATATATATACACACGTATTCATCTATCTATTTATGTATATATATATATGTATCTCTATATGTGTGTATTGATCGCTCTCTCTCTCTCTCTTTTTCTCTCTCTCTCTCTCACTCTCTCTCTCACTCTCTCTCTCTCTCTCTCTCTCTTTCTTCCTGTCATACTATCTACTTAGATGTGTCTCTGCCTTTCCCTGTCTTTCCCTTTGATACTGATGTGCGCTGGTCGTCATGTCTCTCTCACTCCACACTTTTCTATTTACGCCCTCTCTCCATACTATAGTTATATAAACATACAAGACTGCAGTGGCGCTTCGCGCCATGCACCTTGGTCCTTGAAGTGTGGTATGCAGGCGGAATAGCAGGAAGGTCAAGCCGACAATTTAGCGATAACTCCTTGTTGCCTTTTTCCGGCATCGCCGCTATAATAATGTGATTCGATATCTTTCCTCCATGCTTCTTTTTCCTCATTTTCGCCATACGCTGCGCATTCTCCCCATCCTCCTCAGCTCTTTATTGCGGAGGCTCCTCCTTGGAGAGCCTCTGGGGGCCTCACAAAAGTTGTTTCAGGCTTTCTTAATGCTTTCAGGAGGCCTCCTGGGTGTATTCTGGGGGCCTCTGGGGGCTTCCTCGGGCCACCCTGCCTCCAACCGCGGTCTCCCTGAACGACCGGGTCACGATTTGGAATGCTTCGGAGGGTGTCTTGGGGCCATCTTGGGCCGCCATGGGGCTCTCTGAGGGCCATCTTGGAACCGTGTTGTCGCGTTTTGGGGCTCTCTTGGACTGCCTGGAAGCCCTTTTGGATGTTTGAGGGGCGATTTGGGAGCCTCCCAGGCGGCTTCGGACGCCCAGAAGACCGCCGTCTTGGAGCGTCGGGAAGCCGAAAAGAGGAGAACCCCAAAATTCACCAAAAACCAACAGAAAACTAATGATTCTTGCCTCTTGGGGCCTTCTTGGGAGTGCTCTTGGAGGCCTCTTTGGGACCGTCCTGGAGGCCTCTAGGGCCATCTGGAGGTCACGTCGGTCACACTTCGGAGCGCTCTTGTGCTGTCTTGGGGGTCTCTGGGGCGTCTCCGATGACCCCCCTGATCGCCTTAGGTGTGCTGGGAAGGCTTTGCAAAACGCCCTGCGAGGACCAGGGGGCCGCTTCGAGGCCCGTCCGGAGGGTTCCAAAGCTCCAGATCCGGGAAGTCCGGTTTTTCTTGGGGGGGGTGATGGGTTTTCCCCCCGCCCGGGCTTATACAAACATAGGAAGAGGAATACCTGTGTACCTCGTTGTCGTGATGTGTCCATCATATATGCTGCTGTCGTTGTTGGTAGTATGGTTGTTGAATTCTCACTTCTGAAGAATAATTATCGTTGATCCCCCCCCACCGGTGCATATTGTTTTTTCTCAATCAATGTGTGCCCCTCGACGCTCGCACCTTGTTTTTTGACCAGGAAGGTCTTCCTGCTCAAACTGGGCCCCTGGCCCCCGGGTTACAACAAAAACGGCTCCCGCTTCAGACTTCCTTACAATTTAGCCAGGACCCCCGCTCCCGCCCGAGACTTCCTCGCATTTTATTCAGGAATCGCGCTCTCGCTTGGGACCTCCTTGCAATTTATTCAGGAATCTCTCTCCCGGCGCTCTGGAGTCGCGCTCTCGCTGGAGACTTCGCTTGCAAGTTACTGAAGAATGGCCTTGTGTTGGAATTTCTTGCAATTTGCCCAAGCGCCGCGCTCCCGACACCCAGGCACCCAGGAGTCGCGCCCGTTGTGGCCCCATGTGCATGCCTTTCGTGGCCCCGCTGTCGCCATTTGTGTCCCCCTCACTGTCCTACGTGGCCCAGTTGCTACCCTCAGTGGCCCCATGGTTGCCTTCTGTGGCCCCGCATTATCTGCACTTCGTGGCCCCCGCTCGTTCGCGCTCTTCGTGGCCCCATACGCATTCCCTTCGTGTCCCCGCTGTCGCCCTTCGTGGCCTACTTCGTGCCCTTCGTGGCCCTGCTGTCGTTCTCTCTCGCTCTCGCTTTCTTTCGTTGTCGCCGTCGTCGTCGTCGTCGCCGTCGTCTTCTTCGACGTCGTCGTCGTCGTCGTCGTCGTCGTCGTGGTCGGTCCCCTGTCCGTCCCTCTTGGGGTCGGGTCGACGGTCCGCGGCCGCCCCGCCGATCAGCGCTGCCGCTGGCCAGGCCGACGGTACGCGGCCGCCCCGCCGCTTGCCGGGGCCCGGCCTGCAGGGAAGAAAGGTATACCCCCGAAAAGGGGTTCGATCGAAGACGAAGAGGGCGGATATCGAGGGCTTGGGAAATACGCGTTATTGGACACTCGAGCATATAAGGGCGAACAGTCTTAAACTTAGTGTTGTTGTTTCTGTTGTTGTTGCTGGTGTTAGCGTTGTTGTTGTTGTTGCAGTTGGTGTGTTTGTTGTTGTTGTTGCTGCTGCTGTTGTTGTTGTTGTTGTTGTAATTGTTGTAAGTGTTGTTGGTGCTGTTGTTGTTGTTGTTTCTGTCGTTGCTGAACTCTCAGTTCTGAAGAATATTTATTGTTGATCCCCCCTGTCCGGTGCCCATTGTTTTTTTCAACTGAAGTGCTTCCTCCGGGGCTCGCACCTTGTTTTTTGACAGGGAAAGCCTTGCGGATCAGATTGCGTTGTTGGGCCCCAGACTACAACAACAACGGCTCCCGCCTGAGACTTCCTCACAATGTACTCAGGACCCCCGCTCCCGCCTGACCTCAAAATTTACTCCAGAAGGGCGCCCCCGCTTCATACTTTTTCGCATTTTATTCAAAAACGGCGCTTCCGCTTGAGATTTCCTTAATCAGGACCCCTGCTCCCGCCCGAGACTTCCGCATAATTTACTCAGGGATGGCGCTTTCGCGTAGGACTTCCTCGCAATTTATTGCGGCATCGCGTTCTCGGCGCTCAGGAACCACGCTCGCGCCAAGGACGCCCTCGCAATTTACTTAGGAATCGCGCTCTCGCTTAATACTTCGCCGCAATTTACGCAAAAATCCCGTTTGAATGTCCCGCCCGCCCGACCCGCCCGCCAGGGTCCGCCCGCCCGATCGGCGCCCCCGCCTGAGACGTCCGTCGATGTACTCGGGACCCCCGCTCCCGCCCAATTCTTCCTTGAGGAATACGCCCTCGCCTAGGATTTTCTCCAACGTTCACACTCTTACCCTCCTGCCCCTTCCTCCCCATCCAACCTCCCTCCTCCCCCCCTCCCCCCCAATATCCACCCTCCTCCTTCCTCTTCCTCTCCCCCCACACCCTCCTCCCATAACACTCCTCCCTCCTCTCTTCGCCCTCCCCTCTCCAGCCTCCTCGTTCCTCCCTCCTCTGTCTCTCTATCTCCAATCGTCCCCCCCCCCTCCTCGCCCCCTCTCTCCTGGCGTGTTCCCCTTTAGCCTCGTCCCTCCCCTTCCCTTCCCCCCACTCTCCCTCGTTCTCCCCCTTCCTCTTCTTGCAGGGCCCGCGCTAATTCCAATGGTGGGCAAAGAGATGCGCGCCCCATCCTCCGAATAATTCCCCGCCCGTTCACGCCCGCTTGTGCAAGCCCGCCCGCCCCCGCAAAAAAAAAGAATCCCCCCAGAAGGGGGTGCGCTCGAAGACGAAGGGGGCGGGTATTGAGGGCGTGGGTATACACGTTGCATGGCACGCGGGCAAGTAAGAACGAACAGTCTTAAAATGATTGTTGTTGTTGTTGTTGTTGTTGATGCTGTTGTTATTGTTCTTGTTATTGTTGTTGTTGTTGTTGTTGCTGTTGTTGTTGGTGTTGTCGTTGTCGTTGTCGTTGTCGTTGTCGTTGTCGTTGTTGTTGTCGTTGTTGTTGTTGTTGTTGTTGTTGTTGTTGTTGTTGTTATCTCTCTCTCTGTTTCGTGTTGTTTTCTTTTTTTTTTTTCTCTCTCTCTCTCTCTCCCTCTCTATCTCTCTCTCTCTCTCCCTTTTCGCTCTCTCTCACTGTTCCTCCCACCGGGACGGCGGCGGTGCCCTCAAAGTGTGCGCTCTGCGCAGAGCTTCCATCCCTGTCAACACACAACGCCAATCACACTGTGTGGCAAACGCTGGTTCATGCGCGGACGCGTTTCCACAGGTTTTCGACAGTGGGCGGTGGGGGGTGCCCTCACATTGGCCGCTCTGTGCAGGCCCACGATCCTTGACAAAGGCCAAGAAAAGTGCAGTTTGGGGTACAATGCAGATCATGCGCGGGCGCCTCGCGATCACTGAACATTGGCTTTTGACTAGGACCGCGGGGGTGCCCTTCTATTGTTTGCTCTGCGCTCCCGACGGGAGTCATGAACTCAGTGGGTTCGGGGCCCCAGATGCTGTCCAGGCGGCGGGTGGGAGTTAGCGACACGGCTTGCGGCTTGGGGTCGCTTGATCTCGATCTTTACCCAGTCGATATATATATATATAAAATATTTATATATATGTGTATATATAAAATATGTATACATACATATACATACATATTTAAACATATAGATATATAATAGATATATATATATATATATATATACATGTGTATTCATATAATAAATAGATAGATATGGGCGCCCCCCCGGTATCATACTTTTTTTTCTTTCTCTCTCTCTCTGTCTCTCCTTCTTCTTGTTTTTCTCTCTCTCTCTCTCTTTTTCCAAAAGCATATGTTTTCCAGCTTTTCCAGTTTTTCCAGCTTGTCCCAGAGACTACACCATTGAACAATCATGTGTTTCCAGCTTTTCCAGTTTTTCCCGGAAACTACTCCATTGAAAAACATATGTGTTA